GGGTGGAAAGGGTATTTAACTGCACTATTCCTTTCTTTCGAATGTTAATTCATCATGTACACTGTTAATTCATCATGTGCACTGTTAATTCATCATGTACACCGTTAATTCATCATGTACACTGTTAATTCATCATGTACACTGTTAATTCATCATGTACACTGTTAATTCATTATGTGCACTGTTAATTCATCATGTTCACCGTTAATTCATCATGTACACTGTTAATTCATCATGTACACGGTTAATTCATCATGTACACTGTTAATTCATCATGTGCACTGTTAATTCATCACGTACACTGTTAATTCATCATGTACACTGTTAATTCATCATGTACACTGTTAATTCTTCATGTACTCTGTTAATTCATCATGTGCACTGTTAATTCATCATGTACACTGTTAATTCATCATGTACACTGTTAATTCATCATGTACACTGTTAATTCATCATGTACACTGTTAATTCATCATGTGCACTGTTAATTCATCATGTACACCGTTAATTCATCATGTACACTGTTAATTCAACATGTACACTGTTAATTCATCATGTACTCTGTTAATTCAACATGTACACTGTTAGTTCATTATGTACACTGTTAATTCAACATGTACATTATTTAATCATTATGTGCACTGTTAATTTATCATGTACACTGTTAGTTAATTATGTACACTGTTAATTCAGCATGTACACTATTTAATCATTATGTTTACTGTTAATTCATCATGTACACTGTTAATTCATTATGTGCACAGTTAATTCATAATGTATACTGTTAATTCAACATGTACACTATTTAATCATCATGTAAACTGTTAATTCATTATGTGCACAGTTAATTCATCATCTACACTGTTAGTTCATTATGTGCACTGTAAATTCAACATGTACACTACTTAATCATTGTCTACACTGTTAATTTATCATGTACACTGCTAATTCATCATGTGCACTGTTCATTCATCATGTAGACTGTTAATTCATCATGTACAAGCTGTTAGTTCACCATGTGCACCGTTAATTCAACATGTACACTATTTAATAATCATGTACACTGTTAAAACAAAAAACGTCAGGTACGCCATTAATTCACCATGTACACTATGAAAACATAAAACATCATGTACACTGCGAAATCCCTATAGTCCAGTCCACATGGTGCAGTCGTATAATAGTAATGGTACACCCAGTGTATTGTATATGTATTGTGTGTTGTGTATAGCTGGCTTATACCTTTAGATAAGGAGGGATTTAAACTAATTTGTAAGCGGAGATTTGCGGTCTATATTCTTCATACATCTCATCTAATAGTGCTGCAGGGAGAAGAAGAGGAATAAATCTGGTAACCTTTTAGTTATAGGAGGAGTAATAGATCTGGTAGCTCTTTAGTAAGCAGAGGAATAGATCTGGTAACTCTCTAGTACAAAGAGGAATATATCTGGTAACTTTCTAGTACGAAGAGGAATAGATCTGATAACTCTCTAGTAAGAAGAGGAATATATCTGATAACTCTCTAGTAAGAAGAGGAATAGATCTGATAACTCTCTAGTAAGAAGAGGAATAGATCTGATAACTCTCTAGTAAGAAGAGGAATAGATCTGATAACTCTCTAGTAAGAAGAGGAATAAGAATGAGTTAAAGGTTTCTGATCTACGGATTGAATGACTTAACTTGCATGATTTCATCAAATCCAAAGAATACAAGGTGTTGGGAGTACCAATAAAACTTTATGCCACAGAAACATAAATTTTAATTAATGTTTAACATATCGAGTAAGTTATGAAAATTCTTTATTGAAATCCATTGTAAATCATAAAAATTGGCAAAAAGAAATTTTGAAATATTAAAGACGACATTGTTCATCGCTCCGCACTTCTCATTTTTATTTGAACTCCCAGCAGCATAGCAGCATGTGTATCCTAACCCTGCAGTATCATTCTCAAACCTTCAACTTGAAACCTAATCCTACTCCTAGTCCTTCTACTGCAGTCAAACCAGTCATTAATCTAAACCAAACCAAACCAAGCTATCCTAACCTTAACCAAGCTATCCTAACTAAATCAAGCTATCCTAACCCAAACCAAACCAAACAAGCTATTCTAACCCAAAGCAAACCAAGCTATTTTAACTCAAAGCAATCCAAGCTTTCCTAACCCAAACCTAACTACTCTATCCTAACCCAAACCAAACTTAGCTATCCTAAACCAAACCAAACAAAGATATTCTAACTAAAAGCAAACCAAGCTTCCCTAACCTAAACTAAATCAAGCTATTTTAACCCGAAATAAGCTATCCCAATCTAAACCAAGCCAAGCCAACACCCACACTAAACCAAAATATCCTAACCTAAACCAAACCAAATCTATCCAAACCCTAACCAAGCCAAGCTATCCTAACCCGAACATAACCCAGCTACCCTAAACAAACCTAAGCCAAGGTATCCATACCCAAACCAAACCAAAATATTAAAATTGAAATAAAGCCTATATAACTAAACAAAAAACCAATTCACACTAAATCAAACTAAATCAAACCAAACCAAAACAAATTAATATCCAAACCAAACTAATTAATTCAAACCAAACCGACCCAAAAGAAATTAAAAATGGCAGTATGTTGTATGTTGTACTTTTTCATTCATTCATTGTATCCAGAGAAGTATATTTAATTCAACCAATCAGAGGCGTTTAGAAAAACCCGAACAGCCAATAAGAAGCCAAGAATTTTTTTAAATTTTGGCGCGCAATTAATGAAAGAACTCTTTTTGTCGGAAAGTAGTGAAAGTAGTGAACAAGAACGGAGTAAACAGAAATAAAAAATGTCCATAGTGGAAATTTAAATAAATAAAGCGATCGGTATTAAGGGTATCAAATTCTAAAGTTTACAGACTGTACAAATTTTTCCGTTAAGTCTACTTCTTTTTGTGGAAAATCTTTTATCTCTAATACCATATTTTTGTGTTAACAAAAAAATTACCTGTACAATTTTCCAAAGAAAACAATAAGCTCTCGTTTGTTTAAGGGTTAAACACACAATTCTATTCTTCAAAGTATTTTCTCCGCCATTTGCATTTTCTGTTGAGAAATGTCGGTAAACTATAAAGAGTTGATGACGTTTGTTCTAAACTATGATGAGGTGGTTGAACCTGGAATAAAAAGAAGGAGCAGTAAATATTTAAAATACTGAACATTCCTCCGTGTTTCCTTAAATATGCAACAGTTCGTTTACCCTCACTCCCACTCAACCAACCAACAGTTATCAGAGATTTTTAAACAGTCTTACCAGACATTTGACAAGTTTCTAAACAGTTTACCAGACAGTAGACAAGTTTCTAAACAGTTTACCAGATAAAGAGAAGTTTCTTAACAGTTTACCAGATAGAAGAGAAGTTTCTTAACAGTTAACCAGATAGAGGAAGAGTTTCTAAACAGTTTACCATATTATGAAGTACAGTTTCTAATCAGTTTACCAGATCTTGAAGTACAGTTTTTAAACAGTTTACCAGATCTAAAAATAGTTTTTAAATTGTTTTTCCAGATCTTTAAGTAGTTCCTAAAGATATTTCTCTGGGTTAAGTTATAGGTATTTAAATGCTATTCACAAGTTATAACTAGAATTAGATAGATAGATAGATAGATATTTGACTAAATATTTAATTAAAAACAATTTAAGTTTCACAATTTTTACATTTTAATTTAGCCAGGGCCTCTCTAACCATTGTTGGTTGTTTTGAATGAGAGGCCCTTCTGCAGCGATACATCCATGTTCAATTTAAATAAAACCAATTAAAACAAAAATAATTTAGAACAAAAGGAAAAGGAGGAAAATGAAAAGTAGTAGGAAGAAGAATGGATCGTAGGGGGGGGGGGGGGACAACCCAGCACACAAAGTTTATAATGTTTATGTTTTATTTGTTTTGTTATAATAACAGGGGAAAGGGGATAGAATCAAGATTTAGCAAGAAAAGCAATTTCGATTTATACAACGAAAAGTACTATATTCTTCAAGAAAACTTTTTTTAAGACTTGTTTTAAAACTTGCTAGGGTGCCTAATGATTTTATTTCCAATGGAATAGAGTTCCAGGTCATTGGAAGAAAAACCGTAGGAAAACTTTCTAGATATTTATTGTTAACTATTTCTAATTTATAACTTTTTGTCCTGTTTGGTACTGCTAACGCTAAAAACATTCCATTAAAAGATAATGGAAGTTTGCCATTCATATATTTAAACATAAAAACAGCAGAATTAAATTTGATTATGTCTTTTATTTTTAGAATTTCAGGTTTCAGAAAAAGTGGATCTGCGTTTGCAGCATAACCTTTATCTGCTAGAACTCGTAGAGCTTTATTTTGTTCCAAATTGTTCCAAAATAATAATATTTTGTTGAAATAAAAACCAATATTGTTTTGTTGTGAGTTTAAAAGATTAATCTTTATTCAATTTTATTTGCATTCTAGTAACTGAAATTATTTCCTAACAAACATATGGCTTGGTTAATAATTCAATGAAAACTCATCTCTCATCTTATCTCTGAGCAAAGCTAAAAATATTCTACCAAACTGAGATAAAATCATTGAAAAAATATTCACTTTAAGAAGATTCTTCTCCACATATTTTTTAAATTTTAAAATGTTAAATTACATTGGTCCTATTATATACCGTTTACCTTCCTTTAAGTAACTGCTTTCAGACAATAATATCCCTTTGATTTTTGCTTAGACAAAGGGTTCCGTTGTGCATCGAGCAGGTAACAAAATTTCTCTTTAAGAGTCAACTCTTAAAAAATAATTTTAAAGAGAATTTTATTAATATCAAGCCCGGCGCATGGGAACACAATTATAGATTTAAAGAAACGTTTAGTATGAATTCCATCATGTACTGTCTGATAAGTAACTATTTTAAGGTAACCCTGTCAATTTGCTTCGTCTCTGAAATACTTTATTTATGATTGAAATAAAGAAACTGAACTATGGATGTCAATGCCAAGTCATTGTATATAAAATGCATTTATTTTATACATATATATATATATTTATTAATACTTAAATATATCAGTTTTGGATACAACAATGCACTCCTAGAATGCATCTTCAATTAAAATATTGGCAAAATGCAGTTTAGGCTGAAGTGCCTTGTTTAGCTTTGATTGCTTCTATATCAGGCAGGATAAAGGTTCTCAGGGCTGAGTATGCATTTTCTAAGGAGTCGTTCACGATTATTGTGTCGAAGTTTCCTTTTGTTTCTCCATACTCCATCTCAGCAGCTGCTGCCCCCAACCTCTGTACATGAAATACATAAATATATGCTGATTTATGTACATTATACTAGATTGTGCTATTTACAGGGAATGTATGCGTAATTTCAAATGTTTGTAATTTTAAAAGCTGTTAATTTTAATTGTGGTTCATATACAAAAGTGAATTGCGCATTTCTACTGCAGGAAAACAATTAGAAATTTTCACATTTTCTATTCTGAACAAAAAACCCTTTAATCTTGAAAAGGCGACATCTTGTGTTCTATCTGTATTGCTATTAATCTATGGTTCTTATTTTTAGGGGTTTCTACGAAAAAATATCTGGAAAAAGAAGCACGTTAATCTAAAAACTTCAGTAAACAAATATTTTCCAAGAAGTCTCTTGATGATATGAAATATATTCACTAAAGACTGCAGTAAGATAAAAATGCAAAATAATTTCTTTTGGTGATTTGTTTTAATGGGCATTCTTAAGAATTTGCTAGAGCAAAAACTTACAGTTTCAATTAGCAGAATAGCCATGTCAGTAGAAAATAAATGGTTCTATTAAAATGATGAATATGAACAATGATTGAGATAAAAAAGTGGACATTCAGTTAGGAATGATTAAAATGTCAGAATGTAATTTTCTTTATTCAAAACTTTCATAAGATATTTCATCTTTTAGATGTATCGTTGAAATTTTATTATTTTTCAAATCAACTTATTTTTTTTCTACTATTTACCTTTGCTAAGACAATAACTTGTGTTCTTTATCTTTATTATTCTTTTTTCTTCTTTATAAATCCCTGGGGAGCCATTCCTTTTAATAAATTTGGGGAACACCCCCTTTATATATTATTCTGTTTAACCTTCGAAACTCCCGCCTTGTTATATCTTTCAGGAACTTTCTCTTGATATAAGTTTGTGAAACTCTCGCTTTAAACATCATCTGGAATACTTTCCCTTTTATTTAACTCAGGGGATCAGCCCCTTTAAACATCCTTGGGGAACTCTCCCTTTATAAAATCTATAACCTTAGATAATGATTCTTCTGTTTCTGTTCCTCTCGCCCTCAATCTCTCTTCAAGTACTTCAAGTGATGGAGGTTTTATAAAAACATACCTTGAAAATAAGATTATATAAAATACTAGCTGAAGGGCCCGGCGTTGCCCGTGGAATTAAAAAAATTGAAAAATTGAGATTTTTGAAAAAAATTCGCTTTTTGAAAATGCAAATTTTTGAATTTTTTAGCCTATGTTACCCATCCGTGGGTTTGGCTGGCTTTAGGGAACATCTATATATAAATTTGGCTTGTCTTGGTGTTTGTTTGTTTGTTTGTTTGTGTCCAATAAACGTCAAAACGGCTGAACCGATCGGGCCCAATTTTTTTGTGGGACATCACGTAAAAATAAAAAATAAATGTGTTTTAAAAGGTTGTTAATTTTGTAAAAAATTTGAATTCTTGAAAATCCGCGAATTTTTTTTAAAAAATCCGCAAAATTTTTTTCTTCTTTGTTTTAAAATGTAAACAAAAAGAACATGTTCACAATTTAAATAGAAGATGGGCGCGAAGCGCCCTTAAAGCCTAGAAAGAAGGGCGCGAAGCGCCTTGAATTTCTATTATATTTACAAATGTCTTGTTTTATTATATATATATAATTTTAGTGCAAGAACTTTTAAAACAAGTTATACAAATTAATTTCTAATTTTTAATCATATCATTTGTCTAATTTATGATTGATGTCAATTTGTAGACTTTTTGAATGAAGAAAAATAAAAAAATATTTACTTTGCATTTAAATTCGTTTTCTTGACAGCTTTCACACCTTGCACATCAATATCCAGGATACAAATCTTTCCTGAAAATCAGTTCAAAGTGTTTATGGAATGTTTATGAATCATTCGTGGAGTTCTTGGAGTTCATGGAGTTCATTGAGCTGCTACTTTGACTTCATGGAGTTCTTGAGATATAAGAGGAGTTTATGGAGCCACAGGGAATTCATGGAGTTCATGGAGTTCATGGAGCTTGGGGAATTCATGGAGTAAATGGAGTTCATGGAGTTCATCGAGCTACAGAAAATTCATGGAGTTTATGGAGCTTATGGATCTACAGGGAATTCGTGGAGTTTATGGAGTTCATGGATCTAGAGAGAATTCGTGGAGTTTATGGAGTTCATGGAGCTACAGGGAATTCATGGAGTTTATTAAGCTCATGAGCTATACTTGGAGTTCATGGAACCTTTTTAGTTTCTCTGAGTACATAAAGTACAGTATCTTTGCTATTTCCTAACCTCTACTAAGTACATGGAGTACAGTATCCTAACTGGTTCCTAACCTGTACTGAGTACATGGAGTACAGTATCCTAACTAGTTTCTCACCTGTACTGAGTACATGGAGTACAGTATAATAGTTAGTTCCTAACCTGTACTGAGTGCATGGAGTACAGTATCCTAACTGGTTCCTAAATTGTACTGAGTACATGGAGTACAGTATCCTAACTGGTTCCTAATCTGTACTGAGTACATGGAGTACAGTATACTAGCTAGTTTCTAACCTGTACTGAGTACATGGAGTACAGTATACTAGTTAGTTCCTAACCTGTACTGAGTACATGGAGTACAGTATCCTAACTGGTTCCTAACCTGTACTGAGTACAGCATACTAGTTAGTTCCTAACCTGTACTGAGTACATGGAGTACAGTATACTAGCTAGTTCCTAACCTGTACTGAGTACATGGAGTACAGTATCCTTACTGGTTCCTAAATTGTACTGCGTACATGGAGTACAGTATCCTAACTGGTTCCTAACCTGTACTGAGTAAATGTAGTACAGTATACTACTATAGTTCCTAACCTGTACTGAGTACATGGAGTATAGTATAACAGCTAGTTCCTAACCTGTACTGAGTACATGGAGTACAGAGTCTTTGCTAGTTCCATAATGGTTTCCTGAGAAACTAGCGTGCTCTAAAAAACCTCCTCCAGCAATCATCTCCTCCATTTTCTCCCTAAAAGTTACATGCAATTGATACCATGTGAATCATTAAAATCTGTGTTTAATTTATTTGTGTTTTGTATTCTCTGTTTTGATGAGTGTTTTCTGTTCTGTGTTCTGTTCTGTATTCTGTTCTGTGTTCTGTTCTGTATTCTGTTCTGTGTTCTGCTCTGTGTTCTGTTCTGTGTTCTGTTCTGTGTTCTGTTCTGTATTCTGTTCTGTGTTCTGTTCTGTGTTCTGTTCTGTGTTCTGTTCTGTGTTCTGTTCTGTATTCTGTTCTGTGTTCTGTTCTGTATTCTGTTCAGTGTTCTGCTCTGTGTTCTACTCTGTGTTCTGTTCTGTGTTCTGTTCTGTATTCTGTTCTGTGTTCTGTTCTGTATTCTATTCTGTGTTCTGTTCTATGTTCTGTTCTTTGTTCTGTTCTGTGTTCTGTTCTGTATTCAATTCTGTGTTCTGTTCTATGTTCTGTTCTGTGCTCTGTTCTGTGTGCTACATAATGTCTAGGTATATATTCTGCATATTGTTGATTTGTACCAAGAACAGGTTTTAAAAATGAATTAATGAGATGACTGATATTAAGAACTAGGAGAAGTATTCAGAATACAAATTAAATTATTCTCGGCTTCTTGTTCAGATTAGAAAATATCAACGCACGATAACAGTGTCAGGTCTGCGTAACCTACTAATTAATAGATTGATATCTTGATTTAATATTTCGTTTATTTGTTATTTAATTAATTTATTCAATGATTGATTGATTATAGTACCTGGAGATGAAATGATAATCCTTCCCGTCCTCTTCTCCAGGTCTTGGTTGACGAGTTGTGTGAGATACAGAGAAACCAAACATATCTCTAAACTCTTCCATCAACTGCAATTAAACTAATCATATTACCAAACTCTTCCATTAACTGCAATTAAACCAAACATATCTCTGATCTCTTCCATTAGCTGCAAATAAACTAAAAATATCTCCAAATTCTTCCATTAAGAGCAATTAATCCAAACATATCTTCAAACTCTTGCATTAACTGCAATTAAACCAAACATATCTTCAAACGCTTCCATTTAGAGCAATTAAACCAAGTATATCTCCAAACTCTTCCATTTAGAGCAATTAAACCAAACATATCTCCAAACGCTTCCATTTACTGTAATTAAGCCAGCGGAGTTGCTTGTTAGCTCAGAAGTAGCTGTTTAGCTGATTAGCTCCAGAAATAGCTATGTAGCTGATTAGCTCCGGGAGTAGCTGTGTAGCTGATTAGCTCCAGAAGTAGCTGTGTAGCTGGTTAGCTCCGGGAGTAGCTGTGTGGGTGATTAGCTTCAGAAGTAGCTGTGAAGCTGATTAGCTCCGGGAGTAGCTGTGTAGCAGATTAGCTCCAGAAGTAGCTGTGTAGCTGATTAGCTCCGGGAGTAGCTGTGTAACTGATTAGCTCCTGAAGTAGCTGTATAGTTGATTAGTTCTTGAAGTGGCTTTGTAGCTGATTAGCTGCGGGAGTAACTGTGTAACTGATAAGCTCTTGAAGTAGCTGAGGTTTAGTTTATTAGCTCCAAAAGTAGTTGAGGTTCAGCTTATTAGCTTCAAGAGTAGCTAAGGTTAAGCTTATTAGATCCAGGAGTAGCTCAGGTTCAGCTTATTAGCTCCAGGAGTAGCTGAGGTTTAGTTTATTAGCTCCAAAAGTAGTTGAGGTTCAGCTTATTAGCTTCAAGAGTAGCTAAGGTTAAGGTTATTAGCTCCAGGAGTAGCTGAGGTTTAGCTTATTAGTTGCAGGAGTAGCTGAGATTTAGCTTATTAGCTCCAAGTGTAGCTGAGGTTTAGCTTATTAGCTGCAAAAGTAGCTGAGGTTTAGCTTATTAGCTCCAGGTTTAGCTTATTAGCTTCAGGAGTAGCTGAGATTTAGCTTATTAGCTCCAGGAGTAGCTGAGGTTTAGCTTATTAGCTGCAAAAGTAGCTGAGGTTTAGCTTATTAGCTCCAGGTTTAGCTTATTAGCTTCAGGAGTAGCTGAGATTTAGCTTATTAGCTCCAGGAGTAGCTGAGATTTAGCTTATTAGCTCCAGGAGTAGCTGAGGTTTAGCTTATTAGCTGCAGGAGTAGCTGAGATGCTAATTATTAGCTCCAGGAGTAGCTGAGATTTAGCTTATTAGCTCCAGGAGTAGCTGAGGTTTAGCTTATTAGCTGCAGGTTTAGCTGAGATTTAGCTTATTAGCTCCAGGAGTAGCTGAGATTTAGCTTATTAGCTGCAGGAGTAGCTGAGATTTAGCTTATTAGCTCCAGGAGTAGCTGAGATTTAGCCTATTAGCTCCGGGAGTAGTTAAGGTTTACCTTAGTAGCTGCAGGAGTAGCTGAGATTTAGCTTATTAGCTCCAGGAGTAGCTGAGAATTAGCTTATTAGCTCCAGGAGTAGCTGAGGTTTAATTTATTATCTCCAGGAGTAGCTGAGATTTAGCTTATTAGCTCCAGGAGTAGCTGAGATTTAGCTTATAAGCTCCAAGTGTAACTGAGGTTTAGCTTATTAGAAGCAGGAGTAGCTGAGGTTTAGCTTATTAGCTCCAGAAGTAGCTGAAAATTAGCTTATTAGCTCCAGAGGCCACGATTTAAATTTGCGAAATTTATAATCCTCTTTCGGGGATTTCATCCTAGATACAGTATGGATAAATAATATGATAAATAAATGAAGAAAAAGATTGAAAAAAAGATTACATAAATGAATGAATGAATGAATAAATAAGATATTAATAAAGAGAATGAATTAAATGACAATTAACCTTCTTCATGACTGTAGATTTCCCTGATCCACTAGGACCACACAGGACAAGAGGGAAGGAACCTTAAACATATACAGTGCAGGGGGGGGGGGTAATCCGTCCCTCTTTTCTTGAAAATGGTTTAAAATTCAAAAATTAAAATTTAAAGATTAAAAGTTCAATACATTCAGTATAAATGCAAATAAAATACTGAAAGAGTTGTATGGACACAAGACACTTTGTGACAGATATCGAAGAAAAGGAGTCATGTAGGAGGGGGAGGCAGGGTGTAATTCAATATTTTTTTAGAAATACATGAAAAGGGGGGGGGAAATGTTGCCATATTTTGTACAATATTAGGGGGGGGGGGGGGGAGAGTTCCAAGAGTAGTTCTTCTGGATTTTATCAAAAATGTTTTATCTTTAAAAAAAAGTAAGCATAGTGACCCTCCGTGCAAAGATGGCAATACCCAATTTGCAACGGTACCCTCCTGTCTGTTTATTTTCATTTGCGGTTTCTCTGCAAAAGTGATTTGCGCATTTCTATATTTTTAAAAAGAAATTAGGAAATGATCAGAATTCAGCACTTTTCGAGTCAGAAAAACTACATTAACTTCTACAGTTTTGATAAGATGAAGGTTTCAAAGGTACGAAAATAAATCGAACATTGCAATCTTTGTATAGAGGCTCACTTGTAATTACGCTTACAGTCCCTTTCAGTTATCCTTAAGCTTTCAAAAAATATGACTAACCTGAATCTTCTTTAAATACACTTCCTTTCCCCAGATATGAATACATAGTTCGTCTTAAACTGAGCAGTTTCATCACAAAACCTTTAGATTTAACAGTCAGGAAATATATTTCAAGTGACAATATTTAGACCTAGCAGTCAGGAAATATATTTCTAGTGACAATATTTAGATCTAGCAGTCAGGAAATATATTTCTTCTGACAATAGTTAGATCTAGGAGTAAGGAAATATCTTTCTTGTAATTATATTTAGATCTAGCAGTCAGGAAATATATTTCTTCTGACAATAGTTAGATCTAGGAGTAAGGAAATATCTTTCTTGTAATTATATCAAGATCTAGCAGTCCCTAAGTATCTATTATACAAATATTTAGATCTGGCAGTCCCTAAATATCAATTTTGTCAATATTCAGATCTAGCAGTCACAAAATATTTAGATTTGGCAGAAAATATCTGTTATTGAATGAATGGTTATTTTTAACAGATATGCATAACCAATTTATTAAATTATGACAAAACCACTGAAAACCCGGTCAAACGAAAGAACCAAAGAATCAATTGAAGAAAATTACCAAACCAAAGAAAAATAACCAAACCAAAATCAAAAATGTCTGCTTGAATAAAAGTACATATCTATATCCTAGACAAGAGAAATCTAACAAACTGAATCTCTGAAAATCAATATTAGACTCTAACCTTCCATCAGTGTAATATATGTATAATGTAGATAGATAGAAGAAAGCCGGAAGGAAAGGGGTCAAAATTATGGCTTGTTTAATTCAAAATATTGCTTTAAATAATTAAAAAATAAATTTAAAAAAATATTATTTTAATATTCAATTGTTGTATTTCCTACAATTCCCTTTCTTCCAGAAGTTTGCTAAATAAACAATTTATGTTGCAGGGTTCTGCTCTGCAGAGGGTAACTTACTCCCAAGACTCAATTTAATAAATAAAAAGTAGCTGAACCGTGTAGACAAAGTTAAGCTACTTATCTCGTGCTCTGGTTCAAATTGAAGAGAAGGGGTTGAACTTCGTCTGTTCTACGGTAAATTAGAGGTCCTACTTAAAATTCACTTTTGAACCCGTTAAATGAAAATTGTTCGTATTTACTATATCATAATTTTTTGTTCGACTAACTATGTATTTATTTAAAATATCAAAGTATATATGTTACGCTGTTTTCAACGGAATTTGAATAAGAAATCAAAATGTGACAAAAATTAAGTTGATAGACACAGGATGTTTTTCGTTGTAGTTAGTTTTAAGTTGACTCAGATAAACTTTTTCTTGCCTTAATCTGGTTCAAGAGAGCTACTAAGTTTCTTACTTAATTTGATACTTTTTACATCTGCCGATAGAGGTAAAACTATGAGAACGTTTGAAGCAGAATAGGTTCATAAAATTAGAAGGTTAGAAAAATAAAGATTAAAGAACGAAAACAAAAAAACTAACTTGATTTGTACATATATCGTGAACCCGTATCGTACACCAAGATATAAACTTTACATAATATATAGTACCCGGTTTTATAGTGTACACCTAGATATAAAACTTGTCATTTTGATCTCTAAAATTAACGAAGAATCACGAAAATATTGGAAATCAACTCCGCCAAATATAAATCCTCTCTACCCTCCTCTCTTATGTAAACCCCTTTCCTCTCCCCTACTCCATCTCCACTACTACATTCCCCTACTCCTTAAAAAATAAATTTAAAAAAATATTATTTTAATATTCAATTGTTGTATTTCCTACAATTCCCTTTCTTCCAGAAGTTTGCTAAATAAACAATTTATGTTGCAGGGTTCTGCTCTGCAGAGGGTAACTTACTCCCAAGACTCAATTTAATAAATAAAAAGTAGCTGAACCGTGTAGACAAAGTTAAGCTACTTATCTCGTGCTCTGGTTCAAATTGAAGAGAAGGGGTTGAACTTCGTCTGTTCTACGGTAAATTAGAGGTCCTACTTAAAATTCACTTTTGAACCCGTTAAATGAAAATTGTTCGTATTTACTATATCATAATTTTTTGTTCGACTAACTATGTATTTATTTAAAATATCAAAGTATATATGTTACGCTGTTTTCAACGGAATTTGAATAAGAAATCAAAATGTGACAAAAATTAAGTTGATAGACACAGGATGTTTTTCGTTGTAGTTAGTTTTAAGTTGACTCAGATAAACTTTTTCTTGCCTTAATCTGGTTCAAGAGAGCTACTAAGTTTCTTACTTAATTTGATACTTTTTACATCTGCCGATAGAGGTAAAACTATGAGAACGTTTGAAGCAGAATAGGTTCATAAAATTAGAAGGTTAGAAAAATAAAGATTAAAGAACGAAAACAAAAAAACTAACTTGATTTGTACATATATCGTGAACCCGTATCGTACACCAAGATATAAACTTTACATAATATATAGTACCCGGTTTTATAGTGTACACCTAGATATAAAACTTGTCATTTTGATCTCTAAAATTAACGAAGAATCACGAAAATATTGGAAATCAACTCCGCCAAATATAAATCCTCTCTACCCTCCTCTCTTATAACGAAACCCCTTTCCTCTCCCCTACTCCATCTCCACTACTACATTCCCCTACTCCATCTCCACTACTACATTCCCCTACTCCATCTCCACTACTACATTCCCCTACTCCATTTCCGCTACTACATTCCCCTACTCCATCTCCACTACGACATTCCCCTACTCCATCTCCTCCACTACTACATTCCCCTACTCCATGTCCACTACTACATTCCCCTACTCCATCCCCACTACTACATTCCCCTACTCCCTCTCCACTACTACATTCCCCTTTTCCATCTCCACTACTACATTCCCCTACTCCATCTCCTCCACTACTGCATTCCCCTACTCCATCTCCACCACTACATTCCCCTACTCCATCTCCTCCACTACTACATTCCCCTACTCCATCTCCACTACTACATTCCCCTACTCCCTCTCCACTACTACATTCCCCTACTCCATCTCCTCCACTACTACATTTCCATACTTCATCTCCTCCACTACTACATTCCCTTACTCCATTTCCGCTACTACATTCCCCTACTCCATCTCCACTACTACATTCACCTACTCCATCTCCTCCACTACTACATTCCCCTACTCCATCTCCTCTACTACTTCCTACTCCATCTCCACTACTACATTTAATGATTGATGAATTTTAGTTATGCTTAATGCATTTGTTTCCTAAAAAATTCAGCCAATTTGGTTCATCCCTTTTTTCAGCCATTATAGCTAACATATATAACTAGCTGAAGGGCCCGGCGTTGCCCGTGGAAAAAATAAAAATAAATAAATAAATAAATAAAATGTTAGGCAAAAATAATTTGATTTTTTAGCCTATGAGACCCCCAGGCTACCCCTGAGTGCACAACAAATTTCGGTCCAGCTGTTTGGCCGGCCAGAGGGAACATATATATGAACGTCTTGCTTGATATATTATATAGATATATATAAGCTTTATTATAAAGATGATAGGTCAGCAAACTATGGAGAAACACTGAAAAATAACTTATTTCATGATTTTCTTTAAAACCGGCTTTACAATAAATTTCCAAATTAATGATCTAACTTTTTAATCAAAGTCCTTAAATCTTTTAGATTTTTAATGATATAACACATTCAAAATAAGATTTTTTTCAGGAAGAAATTTTTGAATAACCCGATTAAATATTGAATATTTTATCATTGGCCATGGAATGATGAGTTGCTTTTAATACATTTTCCAAATTCTTTAGATGTCTCCGCAGTATTGGGTTTCACGGTAGTTGATGTAACATGAGTTTAAGGTTTAAAATAAAAAAGGTCTACGACATCAAGTAGCAAAGATTTAGGGATTAGAAAATTATGGAGTTTGCAAAGACTTAATTTCTTTGGATATTTTTGAGAAGTACATTTTTAAAAGTTTTTTAAACAGTTTTAAAGATAGTTTGAATAGTAAATGAGGTTTATGCAGACAATAGTTAGGTTGTGGAGGGTTTTACCATTTTGTTTTGAATATATGATAGTAGTTGTTACGTTTAGTACAAAGTCAACAGAAAAGGCTTTGTGCTAAATTTATCATAATTTTGTTTATGTGTATTCTTTATACACGAATAGAGGGCATATAAAACATGTATTTATATTTTATGAATTGAACTACACAGACCCAAATTCAGTTTTAGAACTTAGTTCGTTATTTATTAATGTAATAAAAGCTTGGAGGAATAGGATGTTGGAAGGGGGGGGGGGGGGGGGGGGGAAAGGGTTTTGAAATAGGAAAGTGAATATAGCTCCAAGTTTTGAAAGATATGAAGAAAGAGATGAAAGTGATAAGCACTCAGAACTGGATATTAAGCGATGTAGAATTGCAAATTGGAAAATTGAGATGAAATAATTTATCTCTATGTAACCAATGGAGAGAAAGTGGTGAAAAGGGAAGGAAAGGGGAAAATTTAAAAGGAATAGGTGTGATAAAATGGTAAAAATGTGAAAGGGGGGAGAATAAAATGAAAGGGGCTAGGTGTGAGAAAGTGATTAAGATGTGAAAGGGAGGAGAATAAGATGAAAGGGGCTAGGTGTGAGAAAGTGATTAAGATGTGAAAGGGAGGAGAATAAGATGGAAATGAGCTAAGTGTGAGAAAGTGGTAAAGATGTAAAGGGAGGAGAATGAGATGAAAGGGGCTAGGTGTGAGAAAGTGATTAAGATGTGAAAGGGAGGAGAATAAGATGGAAATGAGCTAAGTGTGAGAAAGTGGTAAAGATGTGAAAGGGAGGAGAATAAGATGAAAGGGGATAGGTGTGAGAAAGTGATTCATATTTGAAAGGGAGGAGAATAAGATGAAAGGGGCTAGGTTTGTGAAAGTGATTAAGATGTGAAAGGGAGGAGAATAAGATGAAAAGGGCTAGGTGTGTGAAAGTGATTAAGATGTGAAAGGGAGGAGAAAAAGAAGAAAGGGGCTAGGTGTGAGAAAGTGATTAAGATGTGAAAGGGAGGACAATAAGATGAAAGGGGCTAGGTGTGAGAAAGTGATTAAGATATGAAAGGGAGTAGAATAAGATGATAGGGGCTAGGTGTTAGAAAGTGATTAAGATGTGAAAGGGAGTAGAATAAGATGATAGGGGCTAGGTGTTAGAAAGTGATTAAGATGTGAAAGGGAGTAGAATAAGATGAAAAGGGCTAGGTGTGAGAAAGTGGTAAAGATGTAAAAGGGAGGAGAATAAGATGAAAGGGGCTAAGTGTGAGAAAGTGATTAAGATGTGAAAGGGAGGAGAATAAGATGAAAGGGTCTAGGTGTGAGAAAGTGATTAAGATGTGAAAGGGAGTAGAATAAAATGAAAGGGGGTAGGTGTAAGAAAGTGATTAAGTTGTGAAAGGGAGTAGAATAAGATGAAAATGGCTAGGTGTGAGTAAGTGATTAAGATGTGAAAGGGAATAGAATAAGATGAAAGGGGCTAGGTGTGAGAAAGTGATTAAAATGTGAAAGGAAGTAGAATAAGATGAAAGGATGAAAGGGGCTAAGTGTGATAAAGTGATTAAGATATGAAAGGGAGTAGAATAAGATGAAAGGGGCTAGGTGTGAGAAAGTGATCAAGATATGAAAGGGAGTAGAATAAGATGAAAGGGGCTAGGTGTGAGAAAGGATAATAGAAAGAAGATGAACGAAGTAAAAGGACTAATGCAAGATTTTAGATGGTTTATGTGGGGAAGTCAAAAGAATGAGAGATCGAGGAACTAGAAAAGGTATTTAGTGAGGAAAATGAAAAGGTAAAGGTTACAAAAAATTGATGAAAGAGGATGGGGTAGGGAGAGGATGGGGGGGGGGGTAAAAAAAGTATGAAGTAGAAGAGGAGGGGGGTCAGTGAGTTTGCAGGCACACTGCACAGTGCACAGTGCTCACCGTATGTTTACATTTTCTTAATGGTCTGTAAATCATAGATTATTCTTGAAGCTGACATTTATGTGTTTTGTGTACAATATAGTGTCCACTAGACATAGCTTTTATTATTCATACCCTCCATACTAGGCTAGATAATAGTTATTCATATGATAGATAATGGATATTCATGTAGTAGGGATAGTGGATATTCATGCAGTAGGGATAATGTTTATTCATGCAGTAGGGACTGTGGATATTCATGTAGTAGGGATAATGGATTTTCATGCAGTAGGGATAATGGATATTCATGTAGTAGGGATAATGGATATTCATGTAGTAGGGATAACGGATATTTATGCAGTAGGGATAACGGATATTCATGCAGTAGGGATAATGGATATTCATGTAGTAGGGATAATGGATATTGATGCAGTAGGGATAATGTATATTCATGCAGTAGGGATAATGGATATTCATGTAGTAGGGATAATGGATATTCATGTAGAATTGATAATGGATATTCATATAGTAGGGATAATAGATATTCATGTAGTAGGGATATGGATTTTTGATCATGCTGTAGAGATAATGGATATTCATGTAGTAGGGATAATGGATATTCATGTAGTAAGGATAATGGATATTCATGTAGTAGGGATAATGGATATTCATGCAGTAGGGATAACGGATATTCATGCAGTAGGGATAATGGATATTCATATAGTAGGGATAATGGATATTCATGTAGTAGGGATAATGGATATTGATGCAGTAGGGATAATGGATATTCATTCAGTAGGGATAATGGATATTCATGTAGTAGGGATAATGGATATTCATATATGGTAGGGCTAATGAATATTTATGTAGTTGGGATAGTGGACATTCATGTAGTAGAAAGAATGAATATTCATGCAGTAGGGATAATGGATATTCCTGTAGAATTGATCATGGATATTCATTTAGTAGGGATAATAGATATTCATGTAGTAGGGATAGGGTTTTTTGATCATGCTGTAGGGATAATGGATATTCATGTAGTAGGGATAATGGATATTCATGTAGTAAGGATAATGGATATTCATGTAGTAAGGATAATGGATATTCATGCAGTAGGGATAATGGATATTCATGTAGTAAGAATAATGGATATTCATGCAGTTGGGATAATGAATATTCATGCAATAGGGATATTAAATATTCATGCAGTATATAATTGATATTTATGTAGTAATTAATAATAGATATTCAATAGTTAATTATGAATATTCATATATCTATATATTGATATTATGGATATCATTAGAGCATGTTATATCTACATATTTATATATTGAAAATCACGAAAATGTAAAAAAAATTAAACCCATCGTGACATTAATACAAATATTATTAAGACATTAAAAATAAGGAATTATGTAGAATTCGAATTTTAATATCTATTGAATTTAAAAGTACCTTGTAGTTCAACTCTATTTCACCAATCACTAAATCCAAAATGTCTCGCAGATGTTTTGTAGACTAAACTAATGAACAAATGGAAATTCGCCAAAAAACGTATAGCTTTCTATCTAACTGTCTAACAGTCTTAAGCTATCATTCACGCATATAGTAAGATTTACTAAGCATGAAGTGTTGTTAATTTTGAAGAAAGCTGACAGCATGTGTTTGAATATTTATATTCTCAAATTCCCAGTTCCTTCAGATCTTCCTGAGTCGTAGCTTCATACATTTAAAATTGCGAAGTTTCTCCATTTAAACTTTGAATATTTCCTTAAAAAGCGTTGACTTCTGATCTGTGTTTAGCTGAAGAACTTAAAAACGTGAAAACATTTGGAGAGAACTGAATAAACCTATTAGTTTTTTGTTCTGAACAGAAGAATACAAAAATGTCTAATATTTTTTAAACCTCTTAATTTAGATCCTGCTAAATGGAAAATTTGCGAACTCTGAATTAAATGAAAAAAAGTACAAAAAAGAAACCTGAAGTTTCAAGTATTCCGAGACTTAAGATTTTAACTCTGGAGTGTTAATATTTCTCTGCATAAATAATCTTGAATCATGATTTTATTCAACTCTGAGTTCTATATCTACACGACTCTTCGATCAGGGAACTAAAGAAAAAGGGAAAATAGATCCAGAGTACTGGAGAACAAGATAACCGGAGAACTAGAGAACTAGAGAACCGGAGAACCAGGGAATCGGAGAACCAGGGAACCAGGGAACCGGAGAACCGGAGAACTAGAGAACTAGAGCACGTGGACTTAACGGTTCTGTCAATTTTCCAGAAAGCTGTGACTTTCGATCACAATTTGACCTGCTATACTAGAGAACTAGAAAAATAAAGAAATAGAGAACTAGAGAACTAGAGAATTTAAGAACTAGAGAACTAAAGAACTAGAGAACTAAAGAACTAGAGAACTAAAGAACTAGAGAACTAAAGAACTAAAGAACTAGAGAACTATAAAAATAAAGAAACAGCGAACTAAAGAACAAAAGAACTAGAAAACTAGAGAAATAGAGAAATAGAAAACTAGAGAAATAGAGAATTAGAGAACTAGAGAACTGGAGAACAAAAGAACTAGAGAAATAGAGAATTAGAGAACTAGAGAACTGGAGAACGAAAGAACTAGAGAAATAGAGAAATAGAAAACTAAAGAAATAGGGAATTAGAGAACGGTTCTGTCAATATTCCAGAAAGCTGTGACTTTCGATCACAATTTGACCCGCTATACTAGAGAACTAGAAAAATAAAGAAATAGAGAACTAGAGAACTAAAGAACTAGAGAACTAGAAAAATAAAGAAACAGCGAACTAAAGAACAAAAGAACTAGAGAACTAGAAAAATAGAGAAATAGAAAACTAGAGAAATAAAGAAATAGAGAACTAGAGAACTGGAGAACAAAGAACTAGAGAACTAAAGAACTAGAGAACTAAAGAACTACAGAACTAGATAACTAGAGAACTAAAGAACTAGAGAACTAAAGACCTAGAGAACTAGAGAACTAAAGAACTAGAGAACTAGAGAACTAGAAAACTTGAAAACTAAAGAACTAGAGAATTAGAGAACTTAAAAAACTAAAGAACTAGAGAACTAAAGAACCGGAGTACTAGAGGCAGAGAAATAACTTGTAATATTATGATTTTATTTTCATAATATAGATTAAATATATATATAAAGAATAATATAGATAGCTAGATAGTAAATATATACATTATGTAGAATAATCTGTACATAGTATAGAATGAGGTTAGGATAGGTTAGGTTGGGTTAGGTAGCGAATATAAATGAATTTTGAAGACCATCTATTATCCTGTCTCTCAACACAATTCATAAACAAATATTTTATTTCGAGCTTAACAATCAACACAGTGTATACTTAACTCAAAATATAAAGAAATATTCCAAATTGAAATAATTAAACACCAAAAATGCTGTTGATAGAAAAAATAAAGGTAAAATTAATAATTGCAGTTATGAAAACGATAATCTATATATAAATTTGGCTTGTCTGTCTGTTTGTCTGTCTGTCTGTTTGTATCCAATAAACGTCAAAACGGCTAAACCGATCGGGCCCAAATTTTTTGTGGGACATCTAGGGACTCCAGGGAAGGTTTATGAATGATCAAAATTTCAAATATTTGTCTCCATAAAAATTCTATCTCCATATGGGTAGGGGTGTGGTATGTGTGTGAGGGTGAGTGTGTGTGTGTGGTTTTCCAATGCTAATACTTGGGAAAAAAAACAAGAAGCAAAATTGCTATAATTTCAATTTAAGCAAAACTAATCATTTTGCTTAAAACAGCAGGTTAATCATGACCTTTTTGTTTGACTTCTCTTATTTAAATTTTTATTTTTTTTTAACCAAAATTAAATGAGCTTTGTATAAGTGTTAACTGTGGTAGCTACCAAGGGGTAATTAACCAAACCAAACCTACTCAGGCAGAAAAATACGCAAAAAGTTGGCAGGACCAGACGGTTGCATAGACAGGCAGGCCGAACCATGATACATTACAGACTTAGATATAGTTTTTTCATCATATATAGTTATGATGTAATTATATTATTATATATAAAAGTGTATCTGTAAAATTTATCCTGTCCATTTTTTATATTTCAAAACTGTTTGATTAGAGGCCAGCACACTTCTGTTAAAAATAATTTTTGGTCCGTAATTATTTCATTTTGGACAAAATTTTACGATAACAAAAGTTTATAACTTCAGTTTTTCAATCCGGATATTTCGATAAATTTTAAAGAACTTTTGGCAAAAATATCAAAATAGCAAATGTCAAATGCCTAATTATGGAGTACAAGCGCAGTGCGTCTCAATTTTCCTAACTGTTTATAGCGTACATTTTTTTAATCATTTAAAGATTTTTGTTCATTTGGCATCATTTGATATTCTGATATTTTTGCAACTTTTTTCGCTTGTTGAAATTAATCAGCATAAAGTAGGAAAATAGGTAATTTTTCTTCAATAGTATTAAACTGGATTTTTACCACTATAATGTTATTTATTTTCTACCTTGAGGTTTCATGAATAAAAAAGGACACTAAATTCTCAATACTTTTCCTAGTTATTGGTCAAACCATGAAGTAGGCTAAATAGAAAATATTTGAAAATTATGGGGAGAAATATTTTACACAATCATCTGATGGATAACTTTTTAAATTTTCATATGTTTTATAATTTGCAATGTGCTGTTTCCAAGACTAATCTTTAAATTTTCTTTGTTTTATCTGGTTTCAGCCTTTGCACCCCCGTGTAGGTGAGTATATTGAAAGCTTCGTGAGCCTGTTTGTCGAATCCATCAAATTTTACAAGTTTACTTTTTAATAGATTTCAGCAGGTCCAACACAATCTAGATAGATAGATAGATAGATAGATAGATAGATAGATAGATAGATAGATAGATAGATGGTTAGATAGATAGATAGATAGATAGATTGGTAGATAGATAGATAGATAGATAGATAGATAGAAAAAAGAGTGTTTCTGATTTTGATTATTTAATAAACGTCTTTTGAGAATTGATCTTTTCTGGACAGCATCTCTCCAAAGAATCAACCACAGACTATACAATTAACTATACTTTCTATATTTACAATTTCTAAAATATAACAAGGGTTTTAATTTTTTAAACCCCTTCATACATTTTTTCAAAATCCAAACATCATTTTACAATTTCTGGTTTGCAAATGACAAAGTTTTATGTTAATATTTGGAAACCAGAAGCAAGATACAGTCCAGTTGCGTGATTCCTAGTGGTACACAACACTAAATTTATATGAAATACTACTGAATATTCATGTAAATATTCATGTAAATATATAAAATTTGATCATTGCTACATAATTTTCTGCAAACAAATGATAGAAAAGTGAGTTTAGTATAATTTTACACACTTTTTGTTTTCTTTACTGTTAGATTGGAAATCTCTAAAACCCCTCTTTTTCAATTTGAAATTAAAATGAAGCATTTGCATAATTCAGTGGACTATATATACCGAATTTCATTCAGCTTTATTCTTCACTGTACTATTTCACGAACTCTCCCTTTAAGTTAATTAATTATTTTGGTGAAACGTTTATTATAAACTTAACGTGCTGCTAGCTATTAGTAAACATCAAACCTAGATCCAACATTAGATTAAAATATAATTAGTCTATCATTTAGGTCTACACACTCTACACTCTACACTCTACACTCTACACTCTACACTCTACACTCTACACTCTACACTCTACACTCTACACTCTACACTCTACACTCTACACTCTACACAGTGTACCCCCTCCCTTATTCCAGTCTGATTTCAAAGAATAGTTTATAAATTAATTAGACAATCTCTAGCAGGTGACAAGGCTAGATATGGGGGTAATTTTTTATTTCAAAATTTCAAACTGTATTTTACAATCACACGCATTTTTTTGATGAAATATAATAATCAAAAAAATTTAGTCCTTCCAACAAAGTCAAATTTTGTCATCGCTACATCATTGCAACCTGATTGTGTATACAATAGATGTTTCAAACTTATTATTTGATCTAACAGAATTCATAGTTCGAAATGTTTGACTTTCACGGAGAAAGTTAGTTTCTAAGCAAAATATCAATTATTTGAATGAATTTATCTCGCAATCAGCTTTTGGACAGAACAACGATTATGAAGCATTCAAATATCTTCTGAATTATACAAAAATAAATTTTTAAAAAAATTTAAAAGCTTGGTCAGTATATCTGTGGCGAGACTAGATGTATCCTATATTTATGTTTATTGTTAGTTAGCACGCTGGAACCAATAAAATTGCAATAATATCATCACAATCTTTACATTGATTCTCTACCCTGTACATCAATCTTCACATTTATCTTACCCTGTACATAAATCTGTCATCTACAATGTACAGGCATCTAAACAAGATCTTAAATATTATCATTTAGAACTATCAGAACAAAAACAAACTGAAGAAGATTTTGAAGAATAAAAACCAAGTGAAGAAGAATCTGAAAAAAACCCAACTGAAGACGTATCTAAAGAATAACAACCAACTGAAGAAGAATCTGAAGATAAAAAACCAACTGAAGCAGATTTTGAAGAATAAAAACCAAGTGAAGAAGAATCTGAAAAAAAAAACTGAAGACGTATCTAAAGAATAAAAACCAACTGAAGACGTATCTAAAGAATAAAAACCAACTGAAGAAGAATCTGAAGAATAAAACCAAAAGAAGAAGAATCTAAAGAATAAAAACCAACTGAAGAAGAATCTGAAGAATAAAAACCAAGTGAAGAAGAATCTGAAGATAAAAACCAACTGAAGACGTATCTAAAGAATAAAAACCAACTAAAGAAGAATCTGAAGAATAAAACCAAGAGAAGAAGAAGAAGAAGAACAAAAAACCAATCGAAAAAAAATCTGAAGAACAAACAACCAATTGAGGAAGAAACTGAAGATGAAAACCAACTGAAGAAGTGCCTAAAGAACAAAAACCAACTAAAAAAGAATCTGTAGAACTAAAACCAACTAAAGAAGAATCTAAAGAACAAAACCCAACTGAAGACGTATCTTAATCCAAATATGGTTCTTTACCAAGTTTAATTTTCACTCTTGATTTAGAAATATGGACACTTCAACAGAAAACATACAATTTCTAAGGTGTAATTAATGGTGAGGGATAAAAGTTATCAAAAAGTGGATTTTTTTGTTCTAACTCGAATAAATAGCTAAATATTCATTTA